AACAACGAAAATGAAATTTAAAACTGAAGAAAATTATCAGAACTTTGTTTCGAATTCAAACTAGTGAAAAACTTCAGTGCACGCTCATATACATAGTTGTAATAAGGAAATTCTAAAGTAACATTTAGTATTCAATGAAGTCATTGTCCTTTACCTTTTTAATTAAGGTCTCATAACAAATGAGTCGTGAGTGTGATTGGATGAGCAATCCAATAACGATAAGCGTAAAGGAGGCGCGTGGCAGCCGGCGGCGCACACGCATACGCTAACTGATTAAGAACTCGTGGTCGGTTCCTCGTGAGCGATCATGTGATTGTGATGAGACCACTTAAGCAAATAAATACTCGACGGCGACCCGACAACTACTACTGTCAATATTTGAACTCATTTACCTACTCAATTAAACATATCGACGCTTTAAACGAAACTTTTTAACAACAGTTATATATCGTGCTGCTGCTCGATTAAATCTACTCTCAATAAAAATAAAATTACTTTTTATCATATAATTATATTATATTCATACTAAAATACAAAGAAATAGGAAGTTATTAATTGCTTAAAGAATATATTTTAAGTGTTTATATACAACGAAAATGTATCATCCCGCAACACAAACGCGTTACAGATAGGTATGTTTGTACGAGTACCATAGGCGTATTGAAATGAAAGATGGGGACGCATAACATACACGCGCTATTTAAAAAAAAAAAGCGTATCCTAATTTAAAATTTATAATATAATTTTACCTACTTCCTGATACACATAAAAGTGGTATTATTTATTTCTAGATAAATAAACATACTAAAAAGGGACTCCATTTCCAAAAAACTAAATAATTGGATCTTTGTTTACTTGCCTAGTGCAAGTTAGATTTAGTTTAATTTTCAACATTATTTAATGGAATATAATATATATTTGCCGTGTAATACCTGCATGGAAATTGCGAGGCGACTAAGAGTCGAGAGATGGGCACTAGCGTCCTAGATATTTTTTCTTTATTAAATTTTTGTAACTTACAATTTAAATAAATTAATTTCAAACACATAGATTGTAGTTTAAGGATCAAATTTTATTAATAATAACATAATATATTTTTTACTATTGCTCTAATCTAGGAATAACGTTACAAAAATGAGTTTTTAAGGAATGTAGCGTAATTAAGCTTAAAACATTACCAAAACCTAACTGTAAATATCAACCTGCCTGCTAAATGCGGCTACTACTGGCAAACCCCGCTTCTTGGAGGAGACCTATATTCAGCTTTAAACAGTGATTGGCTAATATGATGATGATGATGATGATGAACATATCTTAGTATTATAATAGTACTGAAAAAAAATTTTACTATGCCAATTTTTAATACCACATTAATTCAGTCGTACCTGAAATTTTCATCTTGTCACATTGCGGCATTACAACACACAGGCGCAAAAGGAAATAATCACCACAGATTTAACACAAAAAATAATAATAAGAAACTCAATTTATCTTTAATTTAATAATTATTTATTTACATAATTTTTTTACGTTGTTTAAGTTTAACATAAAATATGTATTAATAATATTATAGGCATTAATACCAAAAAAATTGCTTATATAACATAATTGTAATATTTTTAAAATTAATACATTCTTTCGGGATAAAATAATCTTTTATTCACGTTTAAAATTTTCGTATTACAGATAATCTATACACAAGGTTTTAATATATATTTTTTTATAGAAAAAAGAACTAGCTATAATGGCCGAACTCGGTCGCAAAAATTAAGTAGAATAAAATACTGCATAAATATGCACTAAATATTGAAATCGAATCACCGTGATTATATATTGGTATTATATTATATTCACATTTATAATATCACTAGTATCCTACTATATTATGATCTTAGTATTATCGTATCTTAATCTTAGAATTTTATTATGCAAATTAGAATGGCAAACAAGCTGACGGCCCATCTGATCGGAAGTGGTAACCGTCACCTATAGATATTGCTATTTCTGAGGACTCAGATGTTATTCCTCTGTACCCTGTAAATTCACTGCCATATCCCACCCTTCAAACCGAAACACAGCTACGCAAACACAACTGCTTCACGGCAGAAACATGAATGGGACAGAGGTGACGAAGCAAACGACTTTTGTACAAACACTCCCTCTGGTGAACCTTACCTTATAGCATAACAACGTGTATTTAGGGTATACAAAATTAAATATAATTTTGTATTATGTTTTATGTATTAAAATTATGTGTTGAACCGTTCGTAGCTATAGAACACCATGACCTATGTTACGTGCATTGTTATACCATGGTTTGCCAATCAGATATCAATGTAAGAGACAACTCTTACAGTAGAATTCACATCAAAATTTCAGTCAACTGTCGGAATCCGGTCATAACGCCTGAAAAACGAATCTAGGCGCGCGTGTATCTCTTCTTACGTATATCGTGTATGTACATATGTGCCGAATCCTTTACAAATTATTTTATCAATAATAAAAAAAAATTAACTTAAGCATTTACTACTTAATAATAATAATAGCGTATACATAATGTTCTCAATTGGTGACAGCAATATTTTTATTATTTTTATTGTTGGCATATTAATTTATTAAAATATTACAGTGCCCATAAATTGGTGTCTAGTAAATAAATATTTACATATGTACATTATTTTAAATTTATTTAATGATTATCTGAAATACTTTAATACCAAATTGTAATATATATTGACAAAAAATATAAGATACACCTACGTAGAAAAAATAATATTTTAAATTTTTCTTATAATTTTTTTGTACTCTTACGTGTTATTAGTTATTAGTCTATTTGTCTTTGATTATTATGGAACAACATATGATTAGATTTTTTCCTTTAAAAAAATATTGTTGATATTTTAAATAAATTTAGAATTTTTACAGTATTTTGCTTATTTAGAAAATTTTGTTAGGTTTTACTTAACAATAATTATACAGTTTATTTTTTATTTCCATTCAGAATACCTTTCTCTATCCTCCACCTCATATGATACTAGTATATTTTCTAATTGGTTATAGATATATTAACGGTGTCTACAGACATAAGCCCTATATATTTTAGTATATTTAACTTAATACTGCCTGCACCCTTAGATACGAAAATAAGGATAAAAGAATCGTATACATACAACTTTAAGAAACGATTCATATGTGTGTGACGATAATATTTATTTGCAATAAATTTGCCTAAAATTGTATACATAGAACAGTATCAGTGTATTTAATATTAAGTTTAATTTAAAAAATAAAAGATTGGCAGGTACCTAAGGTACCTTTAGCTAATGTTTATCGCTATAACTTAATTATTGTAAATACCCGTTATAAGCTTATTACATTAGTTGGTACCATTAACATTCCATCGGAATATGATTGGATTCCGTTATCAGACTTTTTCTTCAATGTCAGATACAACAGATTTTAAAGATTAATCTACTTAAAAATTACTATTCAGCAATTCTATGACTTTGGTCGTAACAAATAAATAAATATAAATAATAAAAATATTTTTTTATTCATATCATATACATGCACAACGAGAATTTTATATATTTACTATATTTATAGTTTCCGACAATTATTTCGACTTCAATCAGAAAACTTCTTCAGGAAACTATAAACTTAGTAAGTTTTTAAAATTCCCGTTGTGTATATATATACATATCGTTAAAAATGAACACTGGTTTTAAAATAATTCTTATAGAAGTAAACTAGCACTAAATTCACTATTTCTTCAACTAGATAAGTTAGGCCATTTACGTGGACTAGGAAGAGAAAACAACCAAAGATTGAGTAAAAGAAAAGCATTTCAATCTAACTACTCTAATTCTGGCAATATTTTCATCTGTACTGTATATGAAATAGACACATACATATATCAAATATAAAATCTCATTTCGAAGTTGATCAAAAACTTAACTACAATATGGTTGTAATTAAATTTTTGATTCTGATTGCATGTAAAGCTTTCAAAATTATATTTCAATTATTTTGGTATCACTCATAAAGTTTTTCAAAATATGTCTTGATAAATCATACTGGGTAAACTAGTACTCATAATAAATAACCCATTTATTGTTTATGTTACACTTAAAGATTGTTAGTAGTAAATATACAAAATTTCTAGTGTAAAAATCTGGAATATCTTTTATAAAAAAAGTCCCAAAAAAAGGTAGTATGGATTAACTAATCTAATATTATAAAAGTAAAAGTGAGTTTATTTGTTTATATATTACTTCGATTGTTGCCTTTCGATATTTTATAGACTTTTCCAATGTTAAAATTTGCTATAAACTTAGTTCATTGTATGTAAAATAAAAAAGACATATGACACATTTTACCCTTGTAATCAACATATACCAGTCATTCGAACGAAGTCACGTATACAAACTACCAATTTAATTAACGAACAGAATAGAAAACGTATACGTTTATTACATTTACTATCGTACGACAGGAACAACAAGTGAATATGACAAAATCACAGAACATCAAACTGTAAACAAGTTTTTGACAGTTTATGCTCCCATTATTTTTTTATACTACCTATAGCCAACAGCACTACGTTTAAAAGCAATCATTATTTGGTTCCTATTTTATAAATTTATTTCTATTTATTTTAATCCATGGAGCCATTCAGGCTATACTTACGTTACCAACGATTTAAACCTATTCTTACAAACACCCAAAAAACGTTACGTTTCTATCGTCGGGTAAAAGGCAAATCTTCAAAACACATTTTAATTTCAATAACTATAAATACCATTAAAAGTACAATCATCTGCATTATGATCATGTCATCATCATGTCAACCCTTAACCGTCCACTGCTGAACATAACCCTCCCGGGGAGTTTTGCCAGTAGTTGCCACGCTTGGCAGGCGGATTGGCAACCGCAGTTAGGCTTTAGAGATATTTTAAGATTAAATATACAATACATATATAAAAACATTTTATTTCCAGGTTCGAAAAACCAGCATCCGAATGACTGCAATAAAAGAATACCCTTTCGACTTAAGCGATCTTCAGAAGCAGCCCAACGACACGGGCGATACGAAACCCCTAACTGTGACTGTGTCTGCACAGGCGACAGACCCACAGCCAAATACGCTTGTACCTACTGCTGACTTCGCGACAAGAGCTGCTACACCTGATGGCAAGAGAAAAGTTTCCATTATGGCCGATGAAAGCAGTAAAGACAGAGAAAACCTACCCTCTGAAAGGTAAATCTCATTCACTCATTTTATTGCATACTAAAATTTATCAGGCGTTACTCTTATAAATAATTCAATATTAATTTTTATGCATCTGGAATTAGGAAACAAGTTAGCAGTTCACGTAATGAAAAGAAATAACTATCATCTATAAATATATTTATTATGATGGATGCAACAAGATATACCAAACATCCCTAACCTAACGACTAAAGTATTATGTCTCCTTACTCTATAATTTCATTATCGTAATAATATTATAAATCTGAAAGTTTGATAAAATATTTAAACATTTTGATACGTGTTACTTAATCAATCAGGTGTAAACTGCAGGTGCTACAAGAAATAAAATTCCGAATTTTCGGATACAATTTCGTGAATTTGTTCATACCAAAATCGACGCACTGAATAAAGCTTAACATTTTGTTCGTCATAAATCCTACCATAAAATTCCAAAGAAACAATATTTTAATATTTTTAAACAGTATATATTACGTAATTTTAACATCAATTTTGTGTTTCGTTCAGCCTTGAAATTTCGGAAAACATTTTATGAAAAAATTTTTATTAAAATCAATTCAGTGATTTAATTTTTAGATCAAAATAACTGGTTTTGTCACATTTGAAGTCGGTTTCTTTGTGATACACAGTCTTTATTTCAAATGTTTCTGCATATAATGACAGTAAATTAATATTTATCAATAATAAAATTGTTTTCTACTCCGTATTCTGATTTAGGCTACAAACATATTATACTTCCGACGCCTTCCTTTAAGCAGTTACAACCGCACCTTTCACTAGCTAGTCATAAACGTATTCATGTTATGTACCTACTTACATATATAAAATATAGTTGAGCTCGTCACGTGAGTAATATTTTGTGAAAGGTATGCTTTATGTCCAATCAAAGTAGACTTCAGTTATGCACGCTTGGTACTCACTTTGGTAATTTTAATTATACATTTAATATATACCATACACCACCGCGTTATTCGATAGTTATCTTTGTAGTTTATTTTTTATCTTAAACGTTTAGTGAGAAAACTTTATCTTGTAGACTTATTAATCACATAAGCTCAAAAGCAGTACTACCAACTAATAAATAAGTTAATATATAAAATGTGAAGAAAAATATGACTGAAAACTTGTCTTCTCCTGAACGTAGACATTTCCTATCAGCTAAGTTACCAGAAAGTTATTATAAATTTATTGTTAGTTAAAAAAATACGCATATATTAAATAATAATACGAGCTAGTATACATATTCTAACAGAAAAACAAGGATAGCGCAATGTCATAAAATGTATAGGTACAAGAGAAGAATAAGTAAACGATTTTGTTTATCATTGTCACCTATTGTATTCTCAGAAATGTGTAGTGATTAACTTTTCTTGCGTTCATAATACGAACATTTTATTTATCTTTTCTCATCAAAGTGAAACATTTCATTAGGACTCTTTTATATTGGAAAATTCCATATCATTAAAATACATTTATATTTTAATATGAACAAAAACTTAAACGACAAACTATGGAGAAGGCCTATTTCAAGAGGGAATAATAATAGCTAAAATAATAATGATTATGAACAAACATTACATAAATCAACCTTGCTTTTACATTTTTTTTTATACAACTTAGGATGGCAAACAAGCTGACGGCCCACCTGATGGAAAATGGTAACCGTCGCCTATAGACATGAGCAGTACCATGTACATAATAGAGTATACTGTTTCGCCCATGATACCCCCCATGCGTTGCCATTCCTGAGGACTCAGGTATTATTCCTCTGTACCCTGTAAATTCACGCCATATCCGACCCTTCAATCCGAAACACAGTCATACAAACACAACTGCTTCACGGATAATATACATAATCCCATAACACAAAAAATATTACGTAAATGCACTCGTATACGTGTCTTCTCCTTATCTTTTCTAGGAGATCTTAAAGGCAATTAAGAGAACAAAGAATACATACTATTCTTTGTTCATTTAGGTGGTTATATGGCATCCTATAATCTTAGTATTATAAGGAAAACTTGGAAGAAGAAAGCCATATACTTGGTCTCCTTATGACTTAACTTTTTCTTTATTTGTCCTATGTAGTTATTCCTTGATCTTCCCCTGCTTCTCTTCTACGTTACTAACATCAGCAAGAATATTATCTATTCAGTTTTATAAGACTTTCAAAAATATTGCAATTAAAATTCAATAATATGAATTAATGGGAATCACAAAAAATATAATGATGATGAGAAAAAAAAGGATCTCTAAATCCACACGGAGATTGTGGATTCAAATGACAGGCTTAACGCCACGTTTTAATTATAACTATGAAAAAAATTTTAGTATGGAAAAAAATATGGGCTATAAACATATATCAATAATAAATCTATGAATCTCAGTTACGCATATAAAAGATATATTTATTTTATCTATTCATTTATTTACTCTTTATACGAACTACTTAATATATATATATTGTCAAGCGGATACATAATACCCATTCTAATTTACACAATGACAAACTGATCAGGTTTTTAATCTATTAAGAGGTAACTCTTGTCGTCCTTGATGTTCGTTGCGAAGGCCTCGAAGTTAAAATAAATTACACAAGGTATTTTTACCTTACAAAAATATATCGTTTCGTACAGTGACAATCGCAGTAGTCACATTTTCGAGTAAATCTTTGCCTGAGCTGAATTTAAATTACAATTATATAATACCTACCTAATTAATATGTTCTCTACGTGGATCTCTATGAAAACTATCTCAATTAATTTCTTATAAAAAATAAAACTACAAACTTAATTTAACTAGCTATATCCTTACCTATACCGATACCTGACCTGGAGATCTTCTATATTTTCACCGCCAATTTCAGCTTCATAGAAGATCCAAAAATCCAAAAACAAATTTTGACTTAAATATATTTCAGTTTTATATTAATAATCTAAAAACAAAGTCTTAAGTGTTAAGATTTTGTTGAACTATGTCAGACATCCATATTCTATATAACTGTCACATCCCATTTCAGCCCCATAAATGCAAAATTTTGCTCCCGAAAAACAAATGTTGAAGAAATTATAATTTATACCAACAAGTACCAATACAGAAGTAAACCGTAACGATTTTGAAAATAATTATCAAAATTGGTTCAGAATTAAGTCAGAGCTTTCACAACAGAAAAAAAATTTAGAATGCTCACCAATTTTATTTAGCGCCATTTAGTATTTCGTGTCCAATTTTGTTTAATGACCAACCACCTTATGGTGTAATAAAAAGTTAATTATAAAATAAACAACTACAGAAGCATAAGATATAGGCATATTTAGGGGGAGTGAGGCTGGTAGGCCATGTGCATTCCAGAATTATCTAAAGTCCACTTCAGGATCCAAGTGAAACTTCACAAATATATATCTGAGAATACATACCTACACGCCTTTATTAAGGCGTCAGATCTCCTTTAGAAAATGCTCTAAAATACGCCAATGGCAGTAGTACAGTGTACCTAATAAGTTGATGTACTATATGCAACTTCAGATAATTTATCTATACTATCTTCGCTAACTTTGAACAACCTGCAAGTAATGATGGGAAAAGAATGGAAAATTTATTCGCTATATTTCTCCATAATTACACAACCACACATGGAGTCGATCGTGCGGATTTGTACGTTTTATCGATTATACTGTGACATTCATTAAAGGCGTGGGCTGATGGCTCACAGGACGCGAGCGCGGGCGCGGACGCGGGCGCAGATATAGCCGCCACACGACCTATGTTTAGCGGTTGGGAGTATAAACAAAGTAGCAACATCGCGGGGCGCGGGCCTATTCAGTCAGTCAGTTGTCACCTCGTTTCCAACACGGCAACCCGCCCCAGGCAATGATTAGTGTAGTTCTATGGCAAAGGGTTTACTGTTGTGCTTGAGGCAACTTTTTGCTTGTCGGCCAATGACCGGCCGGCCGGCCGGCGAAACTCTGCGAACGGAGACAGTCACGTGCCCGGGGTGAGGCGCGGCGGGCGGCTCGCTCGCAGCCGAACCTTCTCCTATAAGATGCACAATCGCCTCCGCATAGGTGCGGAGCATGCTGTACTGTGCGGCATGCCCCCGTGCAAACTATTCGCCACATTACTTCGCTAATCTATAGTTTTAGTGAATAAGACTCACTGAGTGCCATGTAGAATGTCTCAGAGCAGCCTCAGTTGTCACTATGACAGCTACCTTCCATCAGACTCTTCACTTGAGACAGACGCACTCAACCGGCATTGGTGAGTTTTTCGCATCATCATTTAAAATATACCTACAGTATTAACACGTATGCAACGAGCAACGGACGAGACCTAATTTAGTCTCTCATTTTTTTATGCCTACCAAATATATATACAAATACAATTACTATTACCTATTTATATATATAAATATCGTATTCTTAATATTATTTAATAATAATTTTATTCACCCACATATTATCTTAATAAATATGTATACCTATAAAATTCCCGTGTCACAATGTTCGATCACGACAATCTTCGAAATTGTTAAACCGATTAGGTATATTGAAATGTTATATTCATTTGCTCTAACTTTAGATATAGGATTATTGTTATCACGATAAGATAAATTGGACCTGGCAGATGACGGTAGAGGACAAAACAACGTTTGACAGGTCTGCTAATTAATAATAAATCTAAGCTGGTTCCATGTACTAATTTAATAAATTACACGTATATAATAAGGACCTATAGAAATTCGTTTCATAAATCTAAATACTATTAGACAATTTATTAATTAATCTAATAAATAATTATTATGTTATCTACTTATATTATCCTATTGAACGACGGAAGTTTCAACGCAATATTTTATACAATTAAAACCTACCCACGCAGACTGATTTGTACAATTTGTTGTGCGTCTAAATATGCGGCTCCTGGCTTATCGATTTGATCACATTTATCGGAGCGAATCGAAGTGTCGTTATACCATAAACAAACCCATT